AGATTTGTTTATTAAATAAAAACATTTCGTAAACTAAATTAAAAAATGTATTTAATTATTTTATTTTATTCTATTATAACTAATCAATAAATTATTTAATATCATGTCATAATAAAATATATTTAATTATAATTTATTATTATCTGATCAAATTTAAGGCTGTAAACGAACCGAACATTCAGCGAACCGTTCGGCAGGAAGTTCGTTTATTTAATAAATGAATGGACATGGAAAAAAAAATTGTTCGTTTATGAACAAGAGTCTCGTTCGTTCATTTATGTTCGTGAACGTTCGTTTATATTCGTTCCTTTATGTTCGTTTATATACTAGATTTAATATATAATCTTTTGTTTATTTACTTTAAATTCAAATAATATTTATTTATGTTCGTTTAGCCCGTTTGTTTACGTTCATTTAGCATGTTAACGAACGAACATAAACGAACACGAACACATCTGGTTTCTAAATGAACAAATACAAACAGAAAAATTTTCGTTCGTTTACTTTTCGTGTTCGTTCATTTGTTCGGTTAAGTTAAACGAACGAACATGAACAAAACTTCTTTCGTGTTCGTTCGGTTCGTTAACTATCCTTATCAAATTATAGATTTTTATGATGACATGTGGTTTAAGAAATTAAAAAAAAAAAAGATAATATTTAAATATTTTCTAAAGCGATATTTGATTAAAAAGAAAAAAGATTGAAACCGTGAATAAATAGAATTGAGCTTGGAGACTTCACCGGGCCTTCAAAGTAACGAAAGCAAGTCCGACGAAGAAAACACCAGGAGGAGGACGGCGACGGCGACGGCGTTCATTCGTTCGTTCGAGTCATCAGATATCCAACACAAACTCGTCTTATCAAAATCTAATCTTGCAGAATTTCCATTAGTATACTTCAGAATCTGTAAGCATCTCACCTTCTTCGACTTCAGCTTATCTGAAACCCTAACTTTTTTTCCCTTTTTAAAAGCGAGGGGAAGTTTTCATCTTGAATTAGTTCTAATAATTGCAAATTGAGAATTTCAGGGATTTAAAATGGAATCATCATCTTCAGTGATAACTCCGGAAGATGTATTGGAGTCGTTGATGAATGATGGCACAATTGACACTATGAGATTGAAAATTATTAATCAGCTGAAAGCGAATGTATGTTTTCATGCTATTCCCCTCCCGTAGTAATGTTTTCACGATCATTTGTGTGTATATTTTCTATTTGATCATATTTCTCTTGCCCTTTCCTCGAAACTCGTTTAACTTTAACAGCACCTGTGAAACATTGAAACTTGATTAAATTGGAAAGAAACTCTGTAAGTTTTTAGTAAGACAAGGGACAGAGGCAATAGAAATTAGTTCATATGAATAATTGAAAGAATGATATTTGAAACATTGACATCACAAGAGTTTAATGGGGAATGCTTAAATCCTAAGAACTGCAAAATGAAACTAAGTAATGTATTTTTTTTGTGGTGAAAAGTGAGATTTGCTTCTTAAACTGAAGTACCATGATAGGTGCTCTTTCTTAAGAATGTCCATGCACTTCCCATGGTTCTAGTTCTTCCATTCTGTGCTAGATCTCTGTCTTTGATATTTATTCTCTTGTTAGGGTTCATATTTGACATTGTAATTCTTAGGCTTAGACAACATGAATTGGTTAGTCTTACAGTATGCTGTGTTCTATATGCGAATGCCGAAGAAAGAGACACAAGCTTAATCTTTTGAGTTATACCCAATTGAAAATTGTCATTATTACTTATTACTCTCTCCTCCAAAAAACATGTCCAGATCTGATATTTAAATGTGATATGGATTTGCTTCCAGTTAAGAAATCGACATCAATTGTCTTGGCTGTAGAGAAACCTGATAATTGCATTCAACTATAAGAGGTATTGCAGAAAAGAAGTGGGAGGCTAGACACATAAAACCTCTGCAATTTTTATTCAGAAAAGTACTAAGTTTAAATATATTTGATCAGAAGCAAACTCTAACTACAGGATGGAGGTTGTGGTTGTAGCATCACAAGGGGGAAAAAGAACCTTAGTCTGGTGCATTAACACCGTTTCATATTTCCACTTTCTGTTTTTTCTGTTTCAACTTTTTCATAAAAATTAGGCGGCCATGGAGATCTTGTTACACTGATAAGGTCTAGGTTTTCAACCTACTTCTATTGAAAAACAACCGAAAACCTGCTAAGTGATAAAATGGAAGTGGAGCAACAAAAACCCCCAACTTCATCATGGTCAGGCAACTAAGCTCAAACCTTAAACCAGGCAGATGAAACTGGAAATCTAACTGAAACTGCATCATTAAACAATTTTTAGGCAGACAGTTTATGTTTTGTATTGTAAGGCATCCCTTCCATTTTGTGGGTGCAGTCTGATCGAAACTGCAAAATCACTCTATCGTTATCATCCCTTCAGTATGATGCCAGATTGCCAGTTCTGTAGAATTTTCACTTACAAAGGTGGAAATTGGAGCTTTTGTAGTGGAAGAGTATTACATAACACCATTGTAGAGTGCGGGCAAACAGAGGGTGTGTAGTTATTCGTTGTCTTTTTGGTAGCTTGTCCACAGCTCTTTGGAACTAGGAATAGAAAATTGTTGCTTAATGTCAGAAAATTAGGAACTTTAACCATTTTTACTGTACATGTAATTTGAAATGCATGAGGTATAAAAGGGTAGTCTGTTCATCTTCTAACCTTTTTGTATTTATGTTCCACTTCTTCAATTATACAATCTTGAGATTGTTTTCTTTGTATAGGAAGAGCTGAAGAGTACCACTATAAAAATGGTAGAACAGAGTAAGGTTCTCAACACGCCGGGGGCAGAGAAACAAACTAAAAGGGAACTGTTTGATGCTCTTCGCCAAGAACTTGAGTGAGTATTTGAATTAGATTCAGATCAAGTGATCTATCTGTGTTGATCATAGTTAATTCTTGGGAACTTGGAAGTTTCAACTAAAGTTGACCATTTTTTCTCTCAGAGCTGATGTTTTTACCCCTAACAGACATTTGAATAGTTACTTCACTGTTTCTTCCATATAAGTCTGGCATTACATTCTAATTTTTTTTAATGCAGAATCCCTGTGCTTGAGAAGGCCTCTAAATCAGTTTGGGAGTTGATTTTAGACAACAATGGACTGGGGAGGGAAATAAATGAAACGGTTGAAAAAGTATTTTGTCGTTTAAGTGGTCGAGAACCTCCATTGTTTCCTTCCAATGGTGAATTTCAATCAGAAAAAGGGAAAGAGAAAGAGGTTGAAGAAGGCAAAGGAAAAGAAAAGGAAATTCAAAGTGAAAAGGACAATTTGGACTCTACATCCAAGAAAAGGAAGTTGGCGGAGACATCGAAGGTGAAAGACACTGCAGATGATGTTGCAAACTGATCTACAACAGTTCTTCCAGTCCTCAAATATAAGAGCCTGAGGCAAGTGCCACCAACTAATACAATCTTTATTCCCTTGTTTTGATTAATTACAGCAAAATGCAAGTAATCTATACTTCGTAAAAGTAGTATATGTTCTGACATTTTATGAACTTAAGCTACGGTGCTTTGCAATATGGACGAGATTTAAATTCTACTATAATAGCTTTAATTTTTTGGGGATTGCTTTAGGGGCCATTTACCAAACGTTTATCGGGTAAGCGCTTAGCGGCAAGAAACATCTCTGCACTTGCCTTTCGTGTAACATTCTTGGCCAGCGGATTGTTGGTAAGCATCTTAAACCCGATAAGTGCTTACCGGGTAATACTCTTGGTCCTTGCCATGCCTCTTATGGCGTAAGATTTTCGGTCCTTGCCATGCCTCTTATGGGGTAAGATTTTCGGTCCTTGTCATGCCTCTTATCGGGTAAGATTTTCGGTTCTTGCCATGTTTGATCGGTAAGGTAAGTGATATTGGTAAGTGCTTACTTGGTAAGCATTTAGCAAACGGCACCTTAGTCTTTTAGCTACTGATTCGATATGTATGACCTCCATGGCTATACTTGTGATTTCTCAAATTTCTTGTTCATAGTTTTGCAAATTGTCAGCACAATTACTCCTGTTCCCATTTCTCAACCCACTTAATTCTTACAAGCTTAAGAGTATTTAGCATTTTGAACCATTGTGCTTGACACATCATTTCTAAACAAACAACCTACTTGTGAAATTGCTAAAAATATAGAACATGAAGCAACGGACCAAAACCTCTGCTTGGCAATGGCCCAAAATGCTAATGGCACTAAGTTCAAATGTAATGATGGCATGGGAACATATTTTTCTATTATTTGCCAATTTTGACTGATAATACGTTGAGCTTGTGACGTTAAATGCTTGGATGCTGGTTTACAGAAGATGTTGGAAATGTTTACAAAAGAGTTACGTGGCATTCACGTCATCAAATGTTACAAGATGAGGTTACCGGTCAAAACGTGTACAAAACTTTGTTGCATTGATTCAGATAAAAAAATCTTTGTTGCACTAAATAGGAACTAAGGCAAAGTTCGTTGAATTAATAGTTATAGGTTTACTACCCTGATTTAGTTAGTATGTTCTTAACATGTTTTGATTCGATAAAATCTGGACGGTTTTGCAGTGGCTGCTGCATGCAAACCTGGAGTTGGTGGTGGGTGGTACTGTGACGATCTTTTAACGCTTATTTGCAAGAGTAGCAACTTGTTTTTCTCCAGGCGATGGGATATTTAGTGTGTCGGCACTCGGGACGGGGCGAGTTAAGTTTTCTGACTTTAAACTTTTACGAAACTGTTGAAATGAGTAGAGTTTTCAAGTTTTACAATTTATGAAACTGTTGAAATGAGTAGTTTGTGATTAGGCAAAAGTAGTCATTAGAATCAAACCCTGATTTTTTTTAAATTGTTTCACTTTCAAGCATTATGACTTGATCATTTACTAGTAGACTTCTCTCGGTGCTTTCGTCTACCCATGGTTTTGTAACTTTGTTTCATTTTGGATTTCTATCCACGCAATGCCTGATGCAGTTTTTGTAATATCATATTTGATTTTACTTATCTTTTTAATATCTTATTTGTTAGTTTTAATATATAACTTAATTTAAATTACTTAGCATCAGTGATTTATTAACAGTAGAAGAACATTTGCCGTCATAAGTCACGCCTTGGAAAAACGTTGTGGCTTCCAAGACTTGACCTTGCTGCTGTGTCTTATGCTATTTAGAATCTTGCATCTCGTCATCTCGTCACAATCTCTTCATTTGCTTCAAGATAGCTGTTTCACTATGTTTATAAGAATCTTTATGATATTACACATTGAAAACATTTTGAGTGTTCAAACTTTTGTTCAGGATGTCGACTTTTGGGCTCGTTCGACCCTGGTTCATGATTGATTTAGGATTTTAAGTAACCAGCATTGTTCCTTGTGTTACTTAACCTATTGTTTGTGGGTTTTGGTGTTTAACCAATTTGCAATTTTGGACAAAACAAGGTCAAACCATGATAACGTGATTTCTATCAAAATAAAACACAGCCAAAAAGATGTGGAACTAAACGCAAGAAATTGATTGTATGCCAACTTAAAATCAAACCAATAAATCACCTTCCTCAAAGAGAAATTAAGATCTAATTTAAAGTGTATGTTAGTTTGTATGGATTTGAAAGTTGACGTTTTATTTTTAGTTTTTGTATATATATTTTCTAGGGGCCTTTTACTAAACATTTATATCCAATAGGTACTTACTGGGTAATTTTCTTTACCAGATGAACATGTTGAGAATCAAAAATCTTACCCGGTCAGAGCAATAATAAAAATGAAGTCTTACTTGGTAAGTGAATGTAACGACTCTTACCCAGGTAAGCGCTTACTGGATAAATTGTTGCATACGATATCATCTAAATATACTACAATCTTACACGTTAAAATAAATTACAATGTTAACTTGTAACGATAAGAGTTTACCGGGTAAGCATTTACGTAAACGGCTCCTAAGTTTAAAGTTGTTTACCAAATTAGTGCTTGTTGGGTGTCCTCTACCTTATTGAATAAGCATGGCAAGAACTGAAATCTTCCATGGTAAGTAAGCGAAAAGACACACACTCGGTTAGTCTCTAGGTTTCCATATATTTTAATACCTTTGCATAGGATTTACAGAATCTGTTTGGTTTGATTTGAATTAACGGTTACTTATCATGTCCATCTAAATATACTTAAATAACAAGTTAGTTTCGGCTGGTGTTTTGAATAAAATCATGTTAACAAACGTCCCATTGCAAAAATACCTCAAACGTTGTCACAATCTCATCCATATAGCAAATCATAGCTACAACCCTAGCTCAATTGTGTCACTTCATAAGATCTATCACAATATCAACAACTTCATGTCAAACAAAAGTCCCAATAAGCCAAGTTTCACGCTTACTTGTTTCCATAGATCATACAAGCAAAACGACCTTTACCTTATCATATACAATCTTGACACGTTTATCTTTAAGATAAAAGAATAAACCAAATGAGTCCAGTATTAACCCACCTGGAGAGGTGGGATCAGAGATGGGATGTATGCAGACTTGTACTCTATCCCAAAGAGTAGAACAATTGTTTCCATGAAAGAATGGGAATTCATAACATCAAAATTCTCGGAGTAATGTATTTTAACTCATGGCACTACATAAGTTAGCATTCTTATTGAATGCTATTATGCATCATGTTACAAGTGTGTGTGTACTCATGTAACACAAGAAATATTGAAGTGCCAAATAAAGAACAATAATCATATGTAAAAAGCTTCCCCTGCATAAAATCTTTTTTTCATAACGTTTTTTTTTTGGGGGGGGGGGGGGGGAATTTCAACAGCAAACTTGTTGGCTTCATTGGTGGATCAGTTAGGAAGAGCGAGAATAAACCAGTATATCCCACACAGAAGTAGTACCTGAGAATGGAGGGAACGACACTCCAGTACTCGAATGATGAAATTTATGAGGGCTTACTTTTCCATTTGCAGGTCTTCAAAAGCCAGTATGAATATTTGATTGTAGTCGTCTACAAAGTGTACATCAAGGCCTTCCTTCACGTTAGATGCAAGCTCGTCAAAGTCTCTTTTATTAGCCAATGGAAAAATTATAGTTTTCACACCACTCCGTCTTGCAGCTATAGTCTTCTCCTTCACCTATGTTTACACAGAAAGACAGCGTTTTTAAACAAAATTACTTTCATGTCTATCGTTAAAAAACCAAAACCAACCAAACTCAGTGAATCCCATGTGAATAGGGTTTGATAAAGGTATAATGTACGCAGACCTTATCTCTACTCCAAGAAGTAGAGAGACTGTTTCTGTAAAGACGCCATGCTTGTAAAAGGATTTTAAGAAAAGGAACTTTCATGTCCATTGTCGTCATCACAAAAAATGTTTTGTATTGAAAGGTGATTGAATGATTGACAAATAATCAATCACGACAAACCATGTGTCACCTCAAATGTTGCAACTTCCATGGACCCGAAGGAGCAATCAACTATAAAGCCACCAAATGGTCATTCCCGGTAGAACCCAGCCTCCCAAGAGGTCAAGGGTTCAAAAGTCGGTACGTCACCAATGATGACTAGTGTGCGTGAGTATTCACCGTATAAATGTTATTATACATTAAAAAAATTGTAAAGCCAAAAGTGACATACCCCACCAATTGGAAGGACCCTCCCAGTGAGGGTTACTTCCCCAGTCATCGCTAGGTCCTTTTTGACAGGCTTGTTCATTGCAAGAGAGAGCATGGAAGTGATCATGGTGCAACCAGCGCTAGGCCCGTCCTTAGGTGTAGCACCTGCAGGGACATGTAGATGAAGCTTGGAATTTGCAAAAAATGGATTCTCGTGGTCTTTCACACCCAATATTGCTCTGGCAACGGTGTGAGCAATCTGGGCACTTTCCTTCATCACATCACCAAGTTGTCCGGTTAGACTAAGGGCTCCTTTCCCTTCACCTTGCTCAATCTGGGAGGTCTCTATATACAAGGTGGAACCGCCCATTGCGGTCCAAGCAAGACCCATTACAACCCCAAGTGGTGTCTGATCATACATGCGTTCAGCATGGAAAACTGGTTTTCCAACATAATCCATGAGGTTTTTCTCATCAACCAACACTTTCTCAGTTGTGTTAGGTGTTTCATTATCCTGGGATTTTATGGTTGTCTCGGAATCCTGGAATGATCACAAAACCAGATGATACATAGATTCATGACTGTTAGTCAACTGAACTAGCAATTTAACAAATTTCTTTAAATAAACTGAAAATCATGGGGGACCAAAGATTCATTAGTTGCTTTACCATTAAATCAGAAGCCTGATCAGTTGAAACATTTGGCTCGACAACTTCAGCTTCTTCTGTAGTGTTAGATCCAGGTTCATGGTTAGTCTCATTCGATTTGGCTGCACCCTGAGTTTGCTCATCAGATGAAATTTCCCTCGATTCACCAGCAGATTCTGCTTCCCCGTGATGCTCACTTCCTAAACCTGAAGGTTCGTTTTGTGCTCCTTGGCGGACTAGTTTCAAAGCAATCTACAAGAAAGTTAAAACAAACATTAAAGGTTTTCCATCTGACATTTAAAAACATGCATCCATCTTGAATACATTTTTGGTCACACGACTGCCACAATGGTAAAAACATTAAATTAATCATATATGTAGTAGGCAAACCTTGCGGTAAATCTTCTCGATTTGTTTTTGGAGATTCCGAACCCCTGCTTCTCGGCAGTAATTTTCTATCAAAGAAAGAAGAGCTGCATCTGTCACTTCAACCTGAAAATTTCAAAAGGACTTGATTTGTTAATTATCAAGCACTAAAACTGCAGACTTTAAGACATTACTACTTGTTATTCTGTAACATGCTAAAGAACCTAAGTTTAGATGCAACTGAAACTATCAAAAAAAGAATATTCTTTTTTCCTTACAAGATGACAACACATTATTTTTCTCTAAATGTCCAGTGTAATTCTAAAGAGATTCAAAAAACTGAAACCAGTTCCTCTTTCTGATGAGAAAGTGAGAGTTTGCTTGTTCTAAAAACTACCATCATGGTGGAAAATGTAGGAATAAGAACTCAAATTCCCGTGAGTCTATATATATAGAGCTAACACACATGTATGGCAAGACCTTAAAAACACCACTTCTTCACCAAGCAATAATGTTCAAATTGATAAATTTCATAAAACTGTGAACCTTGGATTTAAGCATATATTTTGTTTAGTTAGGATATATAAATAAAATCAAGTTTCATTCTCCAAAATAAATACCCAATACAAGGTTTTCCTTTCGATTTTAACATAATAGTAGTCTACCTAATATTTGTCAAGCCAGATTAAATCTTATCACTTCGAATGGTTACACCTGTATTTAAAAAAATACAAATCTAGTAGAAGATGCAAAATCTGCATGATTCCAAGTCTCTTCCTTTTCTGTGTGCATATATTGGATAGCAAAAAAATTGAATATTGCATAACTGAAAAGAACATATAGCAATCACTTTTTATCCACATATACAAAATTTATCTGCTAATTAACTGTCATCATTCCTAATTCAACGAGAGAGAGAGAGAGAGACCTGTTCAGGCTTGACACCACATGCATCACGAGTGCTCTTCTCTAAATAATCCCTGGCAATATGCATTTTCTCATCAGTAATATAACCAGCAATCGGGATTATCTCCATTCTGTCCAAGAGTGGATTGGGTATCGTTTCCACTACATTTGCTGTGCATACAAACAAAACCTGCAGTGAAATTTCACAAATTTAGCATAACTTCACGAGTTGCACAAGTTTTTGGATGTCTCGGAAAATAAGAACACTCTTATCGCGGAGAGCACTACCCAAAATACTGCAATGAAACAAAATCCTTTTGTACGCTTAATTACAATATAGTAAGGATTGATCATCTTTGCAAACTTTACATAAGAATCGTCTATGCATCTTGAAACCTAAATTAAAATATAAAATATCATGACATTTGAAACCTTCTGAGCAAACTGCTATGAGGTCATCAAAAAAAAATTACAAAGTAACTTGTTGGCAATATATACCAAAACCATCTCAAGGCCCACCTAACTCATACAAAATATTCTAATTACAAATGCGCATGATGGATTGGGCACTGTGAAGAACACAAGGCGCAAAAAAGTGCATGCGATCTGGAGATATGGATGTGCAAGAAAGCTGCAAAAGGCACACTACTAAAACTAAAACATTCAGTGTATCTAAAGTCTAAAATATGTCAAATACGAGAGAGAATTATTTAGGATGTCTTGCGCACAGTTGAATGACAGAGGATTAGCAGGGTAAGTGAAAAAGGTGCCCAATTTCTTCTCTTTGATATAAAAGAGACTATTTTCCATACACAAAATAAACTGGCATATAGAGAACAAGAAAAATAGAGCCATCCTTATGCGTAAGGCCATTGATATTAGACTGCAGTGGCTTAATTTGACTTAAATATACGAAGAAAAAATTAGAGAACAATATAAGCACAAATAAGTCTTCTTCTTTAACATTTTTTTCAGTTCCACGTATAAAGCATCCAAGAAAGCCCTTGCTTGCTACGTTTTACCTCTCTCTCTCTCTCTCTCTCTCTCAAACAGGTATTTCTCCAAGTAGAGAACAATTATATTCCTTCTTTGTTTTTAACTTTGGCCCGAAAGATGGAAGGCAAAAGGATTTGTCTGTCCTCTCCTCATTTTCTTTGTCACACTTTTTGTTTTCTAATGGATCATGTTGTACACACATACATACAGATTTAAGTTAAAAGCAATGTAATTGTTTGTGCATTAAGCAGTCATAAAGCATGGAATTAAAGTCAAAATACCATAACTTTTAATCGCTTAAGAAAAAACAGTAAGGTGAACAAGCGACCACTGTAACCTTGTACATAAAATTACCCTGGGAAGCCTCATTTCAAGTTGCAATTTCCCTTTCTTCTATTGTAGTGTTCTATAATGCGCTAAATGAAGGTAGGTGCTTTTCACCTAAGCGGCAATTAAGCTAACACATAAAGCAGTTTATTTAATCATCTAAACTGCAGTTACTTTTAGATTATGTAAATATATGATAAAATTCTGATACATACCAGGTTAATATTTGCTTAGTATAATCTGCTAAATGGGGCAAACCTAATAAGTACCCACCTTTTCAGGTTAACCCCACTTAATTGTTTTAAAATGCTTAACCCAGTGGTTAGTTGCTAACTGAGAGTGGTTGAAACACTAGAACACAACAAAAGAAAGACATACTTAAGACATTAATTTTAACTAAATCTACTACCATTATACACAATGTCATTGTCCAAGAACGAAGAAAACCATCCTCTTTTTGCTATTTTCACTTTATTTCTTCTAATGCATCCAGTGTAGGGAGGGGGATTTCAACAGTTAAAGGTTAAGGCAACCCATTATGACAAGAAACAAAAAGCCAGCACCACATGGTCACCAACCTTTGACAAATCGATTGGAACATCCAGGTAGTGATCTAAAAAATTTGCATTCTGTTCTGGATCAAGCAGCTCCAACATAGCACTTGCAGGATCACCTGCATGTCCCCTTCCCAACTGTGGCCAAGAAAAAGAAATGAAAAGTGATCAAGACAAAACTTAAAAAATGGTTTCCAAATGTTCAATAATATAATATAATTTAGGTTTTTTTAATCTCAAATCAACATAACCTCTAGTTCTACAGGATCGGACACAAATATCTGACCTTGTCGATTTCATCAATAAGAACAAGAGGGTTTGCCGTTCCAACACTTTTCAGACACTGCACCATTTTCCCAGGCATTGCACCTATATAGGTTCGACGATGACCCTGGTATGATCTTAGATGTTAATATAAATATGATACTGCTAATAATCAAGTGTACAAGAATGCTTAATGCTCTTCTTTTACCTTGATTTCGGCAACATCAGACAATCCACCAACAGAAAACCGATAAAAGTTTCTGTTTAAAGCACGTGCAATTGAACGACCAATGCTAGTCTTACCCACTCCAGGAGGACCAGAAAGGCAGATGATTTTTCCTGCAACAAGAATACAAGTCTTGTATAAGCAACATGTTACTTTTAATTTGGATCTCCATAGAAAGCAACTTCTTGTGTCATCTTGTTTTTCCTATTTAACAATCATAAACTTAAGTTGATTTTTATTTTAGCCTTATCATGTTGTTACTTTTAATTAGTGTCTCTATAAAAAGCAACTTGTGTCCTCTTGTTTTTCCTCTTTCACAATCATAAACTTAAGTTTATTTTTTATTTTATCTTTATTTTTCTAACTTTAGAAATTGTGAATTTATATCCCAATTTGGTATTGTGTATCCCCATTCTTGTATCAGTGTGAACTCATGATCGACGATTCAGAAAACAGCCAATGCCACATGAAGCATGCATGGTACTCCCTGCTGCAACCTTGAAGTACTGGAGACCCAAAGCACCTAATACAATGGTTCAACATGGGTAAAAGCATCCCCACTTCCTAGGTCTCTCTCTATACATATACGTATATAGTATACGCATGGATTTGTATGCATAGATATGTATTTATATCTGTATATTCATATGCATGTATATATGATTGTGTGTGTATAATATATCAAAGGGATCCCCCCCCCCCATCATAATAATATATAATGATGGTAGGCTTCTTTTGTGTATGATATTTGGCACTTGCAATTTCATCCAAAACAATGTAGGTTTTATCTCTGTCTTACATTTTTATTTGCTCCTCTCACCCAATATAATCCATCCAACATATTCTTTTCAGCTTGATTGCAATATATTATATGTACGAGCTAATAATGTTTACAACTTACAGTTCCAACAAAATTTAGTACCAGGTTTGCTTACATGTTTACGTAGATGAAAATAAACTAACCTTGTGATGTTCCTCTGAGTTTTCCCACTGCGATAAATTCCAGTATCCTTTCTTTAACATCAGCTAAACCATAATGATCCTCGTCAAGAATTTGTTGAGCCCGTAGGACATCAAAGTTCTCATTGCTGAAGTTAGTTAACAAGGCTTAACAATAAGCATATGTACGTGGCCAATGGCATTACTTGCATTTATATAAGCCAGAAAAGCAGTTGCATCAAAAAAGAAAAAGTAAGCTCTGTTACAACACACAAAATGCAGAATGGTATAGCACATGATCGAATTCCTATAATTGCATTTCAAAAAGAATTAATCCTGATGGAAGCTCTGTTATTAATTCAAGTAAGAGGAAACAATAGAAACCATATCCTTCTCACAGCATACACATAATTTAATTATGCTTTTAAAGATAGTGTCTTCCCTTAAACTTACTTTCTAACATAACAATGTCACTAAACATTAAATATGGTCACATTTATCTATGATCATATGTCTCCTTTTTCCTTTAAATCCTTTTCTTTAGGAGCTACCAGTTGCAAACTAATCAGACAGAAAAAAGAAACAACTTATGATAGCCCATTGAACTTACAAGTATATCAAACATAATAAAAGGCAACACACTCAAATCCAGGCATATAAGGAGACGTGTTGAACCTGGAGCCCGTAATCTGAAATTTCAAGACAATCAAAAGTCCAAAAGTAAAGTGATCGATGAAAAAAGAGTACGTGAACATTTTTAACTGGTATGTTTCTGTCTATACACATGGTTAAGTTTAAATGTTATGCCCTTACGCATTATTCAGTTAGGCAAGGAGCAAAACGTAATTATATTAACTATTAGGACTAATTTTCATCATAACTTGCAACTTCATAGTTACTAATGAAATCCCAGTTACTTCTACAACAAAACATATTATTCTTTTCCACACCCTACCACGGAATATGAGTAATGCAAAATATATATATATATATATACACCAAGATGACAGTCGATTGATAAAATACAAAACATACCTATAGCTACCCCAGGGTAAGGCAGTTAACCAATCAAGATAGTTACGTGTAACATTGAATTCACTTGAACTGGCTTCCAAGAGTTGCAGTTTTTTCAGTTCTTCTTCAATAACTTGCAGAACATGAGGTGGGATCTTCTCCTTGTTCGGATCAATTCTATCCCTAAACTTGTCTGCAGCAAAGAACGAGACCCTTGTCAAATGATGCTGATACAGTCAGTTGTAGAATACACGAAAAATATCTTGGATACGCCTTCACTGTTCTGATACGGAACTGAATTGTGAAATTTAGTTATGCAACAAAATAGGTGCATAAACCGATAAACAGAAATGGCCGGTCTATTCTCTCTCTTTCACACACTTTTTACACGATGGGGGTCTAATGGAAACAGCCACTCTACTCTTTTGGGTAGAGGTTGGGTTTGCGTACATCTTGACCCCCCCCCCCCCACGCCTGACATTCGTGAGGGATACATTGGATTCATTTGGTTTGGTTTGGATTAGTTATGCAACAAAAAAGGAAGACGGTTTCAGTTTTTTGGGTTCAGAAACATTGATACCAGAATAAATACCCTTGTTAATATTTTCACCATGTGATGATTAAAAATAATTAAAAAGTATATCAAGTCCAAGACTATATGTTAATAGACTATTTTTATTGGGAAAAGTACAATAAAAACCAATGGACTTTCTTGTTTGGAATGATTAAATCCTTAGACTTTTTTTTGGATCAAATAAGTCCTTGGACATTCCAAAACATGTTAAATAAGTCCTTGGACAATTTTTTGGAACAAATAAGTCCTTGGACATTCCAAAACATGTTAAATAAGTCCTTGGACAATTTTTTGGAACAAATAAGTCCTTGGACATTCCAAAATATGTTAATAAGTCCTTGGACAATTTTTGGAACAAATAAGTCCTTGGACATTCCAAAAAATGTTAAATAAGTCCTTGGA